AAATGTCATTATTTGTCATGTGATTTTGGCCGGCATATTGGTTTATGCTGTTATGGTTTTTGTTTCAATCTGACTGGTCTGAAAGTGTGCATGAGATTTCCACTCTGGAAAATGCAATCTTTTTACCAAATATCACGTGGCCATCTTACCTCATTAATATGCATAATGTCAATCATTAAATTTTGTTGATTGCAGAATAGACTAATAGAAAGATAAGCAACATGTCGATTTCCATTGTATGATGTTACTATGCATAATTGAAAAAGGATTTCTTCGTATTGATGTAACTGGGCATTACGAAAATTTTGATTGCAGTTATATGCTATCTGTGATATTATAAAGACATATGAAACAAGAGATATAACTAAAATAACAGATGACCATACATTTCTATAGCTGTCATATCTAAAACATGGTTGCAGACTAGGACGTGCAACCAATGCCATAATCTAGGCATAAAACGAGATATGATTAACATGCGAGATGCTCATAAATTATTATTATTCATCTTTATTATGCATACGATCTATGCCTAATCAAAGACTTGGTTATTCAGGTGTCATATAAATGAAATTACATGCGATCATGACATCAAAATAGAAACAATTGCCTAGTGCGTTGATACAAAGCCTCATACTGGAATTAAACATTTACACACAACTCATGATAAGGATCATGTACTACTAGTATAATGAGAAAATAGTACCAGTTAATGAAATTTATTGTCTTGATTTCAGTACCCTCTTCTTGCCCAGATGGTTTTTATGGTGAATTATGTAACTATAATTGTTATTGTAAAAACAAAGCAGCATGTGATAAGAACACTGGTGTTTGTCAAAATGGAGATTGTGCCACGGGATGGATAAATATAGATACTGTAGATTCTGATTGTCAACAAGGTTTGTATTTCAAATCACTGGTTTTTATGGTGAATTATGTAACTATAATTGTCATTGTAAAAACAAAGCAGCATGTGATAAGAACACTGGTGTTTGTCAAAATGGAGATTGTGCTACAGGATGGATAAATCTAGATACTATAGATTCTGATTGTCAACAAGATTTGTATTTCAAATCACTAGTTTCTATGGTCAATTATGTAACTATAATTGTCATTGTAAATTGGATGGATAAACAAAATATTTATTTCAAATCACTGGTTTCTTTCATGTTGATTTATATACCGGTAATACTAAAATAGATTGTTAATGTCAGCAAGGTTTGTATTTGAAGTCACTGGTTTCCATGATGCCGTATTTAACTATAATTAGTATATATCATAGTATATAGCAGCCTTTATTTATTAAATAATATTGTGAAAACAATGCAGCAAGCATGATCAAAACAATTCTGTTTGTCCAATTAGAGATTGTGCTCTACAAGGTTTGTATTTCAAAGCATTTGTTTCTATGATGTATTTTGTAACTGTAATTGTCATTGTGAAAACAATGCACCGTGTGATAAAACACTGTGCTTGTGCACCAATATGGATAAATCTGGATACAATCAATCGTAAACAAAGTTTTCATTTCAAATCACTGGTTTCTGTCATGGTAAAGTATACTTGTGTTTGTCCAGATGGAGAACATGCATTAGGATTGATTAATCTAGATACTATGATAGACAATGTAGATTGTGATAACAACATTTTAAATACGTGTGTGTTCTCTTCATCAAAATAAGATGGCACTCCGAAAATCAGACGTTTCCTCAACCATAAAGTAAATCCTGGTGAAGTTTATACAACACAATTCTATTGTGAAGTCAGTGGAAATCCTGTTTCGAACTCTGGTGACTTAAAGATATGGAAATCTGGAACAAGTGACTACTTGACACTGACTAATACAGGAAGTAGTAAATATCTTGTCTTTGTAAATTCTACCAGTGTTAATGTGGATATCCGGGATGTATACAACTGTGGATATCCAAGTAACGGACCTAAAGAATCAATCAATATACAGTACTATGGTTAGTATATTTAATACATTTCAAAATGTGCCTGGTTGCTTTTTGTTGGAATATATTTGACTTTGGAAAACTTAAAACATGTGTTTATACATTTCTGTAAAAGCTGTACATCAAATTTGGAGAGTGACCTTTCTATCATATATTTTGTGGGGATATTCTTCATCTAATTAACATTTTTCTCCAACCAGGCTAATGACAAAGTGTAGAAATTAGTAACATCCATATAATATGGCGGTTTTCTTCTAGTCCTTCCTACATTTAGGGTGAACAATGGTCCAAGTGTAAATGATTTTAGATCTGACCAGATTACAGTGACCTGGAACGAATGGACTACTGATGATATTGGAGATGGACCAGTTGAATTTTATAAAGTATACTACAGAATGAGTGATCAGAATGACTGGATACCAGCAAGTACACTAATCAGTGACACAAGTCAAACAAATTATAAATCAAACATCACAGGATTACAATGGTCTACTGAATATGAAATTACAGTGACAGTTAAAAGACCGGGTCCACTTGGTGAAGGAAGTAAAGACGCAACTATAACAGCAACTACATTGTGTGCAAGTACGTGGAATACTATTTTTCTACTATGTATCTTAATATTAAAACAAGATCCTGACACTGCTACTGTAAGTTAAATGTCTCACGGTCTATTGTTGGGTATTTCCATCCTGACAATCAATTATAATTCATTTTTATCTTGCCCGTATTTTTCAAATATAAATGGGGAATTTAATGAAAAAATGTTGTCATTGTTAATAATTGTTAGTGTGTACACAATATATTTACTTATTCTATTTTAAACAGTATCAAACTTGGTCATCTACAATGTAATTCATCAATATAAAATCTTCACTTAGTGTGAACAACAGATGCCTTGTGACAATTGAGAAAGTAGTAGTCAAAATCTGAAACTATTGATAGTTTCTATGTGGCTGATTACTTGTGATACATATTCAATGGTCACAGATCACAGAGGGAATATGTATTGCTTTATTGTGCTCAATGAAATAAATCGTTTATCTTGTGATCGGTATCATTGATAATGTATCTCCCAAATCCCATGGTAATACTAGAATGGGTTTCAATCAACCCATGAGGAGGATTGTTTCACAGTCTAATACACATTTGCAAACATACCAATAAAATACATAAACTGTCTTAACAGACAACAATATGTTAGATAATCAATATATGCACACTTATGAATAACCCTTTCGATCAAGATCTGAAGCCAATAACAAATTATGTCCAAAGTTACCAAAACAAAAATAATGCAAAATGTTGTATCCACATTTGAAAGGAAAATTGTACTCAAAAATATGTATTCAGTATTTGACATACAGTTCTTTTGACAAAACATGTTTTTGTACAAAAATATAAATTTTTAAAATTAGATTTCGCAATAATTTGTCTTTTATAAGGGTCACACCGACTTAATTTTATGGATGACATCCACGCGCATTAGTTTTTGTCTGTTCTCAAAAAAAAAAAAAATCTCCTACGACGTGTCTCCACATATTGTCGCAAAACGCCGGCTTTTCGTAAAACTTGTTTTGGACTACCTCAAAACGTGTCAGTTATGTCGTAAATGATCTTCTGCATATGCGTACTGTGTTGCCGTGAATTCCAACATGGCGTCCACGCGTGAGCATAAATGTTCAGAGGGAAAACGGGGGGATTGTTGTAGACTGGTACACAATTGACGTCGGCCAGGGAGATGTGACGTTTACACAGCTATTAGGACATATTGTCCAGAGTGGCTGTCCCGCGATGCAACGATGAGAGAAATGGGATAGGAATGGAGGTGTATGGTGGCCTAGGGATGTGATAGCTGAGAAGGAAGAAAAGACCTATTGTTGAAGAGATCGATGTGTGGGGTGTGGAGGAGTGCAAGAGATCATTTGTTTTGATACTTGAGGTTGAGATCCCTAGACATGAGACACTAGACATGCTTGCAGGGTTAACATGTAGGCTTCATTTCACCTGACAACACTGTTAAAGCTAACCTCAGGGGTGTAGAGAGTAGCAAGCAAGGACATTTATGTAGTATCTTTGCAATGTTTTGTTAGTTATTGTCATAAAGTAGTGATATGTACATTCCGCCTTGACTTGTACTGAAACTGGTGTTCATGCTGTACCTTGAATGCAGTGTTTCTGAAGTACTCATCATGACTACATGTACTAGAGCTTGTTATACATGTGACAATAATACAGTACGAAATACGTACATCAACATGTGCCTCCTACAAATAAAGACTTGTTGTTGTTTTTTTGATACACCATGTTCTGTGGTTAAATTCGTAATACCAGCTCCGTAGTCCTGTAGTTTTAGCAGCATTTTTTTTTTGGCATCATTTTTTTTTCTTCGCCCTCTCGCATTAGTTTTGGGGTCTCCAGAGGATGTCATCCATAAAATTAAATCAGTGTGGCCTAATACTAAATTGCAAACGAACATCAAAGACATCAATTATGATAAGTGCTTAGAAATATCCCCACTTTGTACTTTAATACTTACACTACAAAAAAATAAAATAAGAATATTTATAGTGATTTCTATCTCACCTCATTTATTTCACTTGGCTCTGTGTTGGCTGTACAATTTGTACTTAGGAAAATAGAAAAATATTCTTATTAAAAAAACTGATCACCATCATTTTGTTTGATATTTTTATGATTCGGTTTTCAGCTAGCATTCTGTTTTATTTTATTTATTCTACACTGACTACAACAAGGTGATTTTTAAAAGATATAGTTGTAACGAACTGTGATTTATTTTGTTGTTGAGAACTATAGTTTTACCCATACTTCAGTAGATTCTTAAGTTTTAAATGTATTCAGGTTAAATCAAATCAGTGAGAATTGTACTTCGTATTACTATTATTCAAAATAATTCAGCTATTTCAATATAAAAACAAATGCCTCATCTCAGAAAAAACGTGTTGCATTTTATTGAAACAAACCATGATATACGAAATACAATTCCAGAGCAAGGTAAACAATTTGAAATCACTATTTTATTCAACCGGTATATATGGTACGAATTTATACACAAGACTCCAAACCTCCAAGAAAAAATTGAATTAGACACCTAACTTTTCTTCATGAATATGCCTTCAAATACATGTTTCAAGCCATCAGACCCCTAAGATAAGAGTAATTTAGCCTTCTCAATTTTAGTTGCTTTATGGGTCAATTTAACTAATACCATCAATTTGAAAGGTATAAAAGTTAAGTAAGTTAATGGGCATTTATTGCCAAGTATTAGACAATACACCTCACCATACATGTATGTATAAAAACTTACTGAATTCGAGAACTGTGCAAATGAACAAACTGTAACATCTGGGTTATAACGTCCATCACACGTTATGTTATATATTTCTGTTGGCTTTTGGTGTTAATAGTAAATTGCAATTTGTACTTTGTACTTTTCTGTGACCATATTGAGTTGATTATTATTACAATGCAAAAAAGTTTCAGAAAATCTGTTTTTAACTACTTAGGTTTTACCTATTTTCTTCTGATGTATCGTCACACAAACATTTCTGATTACCCTCAAGCTGTATGTCAAGTTTAAAATATTTCCTCTTGACATGAGAATGCCTGTGGCATAAACAAGCCTTTAACACAGATTTCACGAGGTAATACTCTAGTAATAAATGACAACTGAAATAACTTTCAACCCTTCTGAATGTCACCATGGAATTACCCAATGCTATTATATAACAGAGGGCTAGGTTATCAGAGTTTAATTATTTTAGAAATCTGAGTCAGTACTGCGTGATAAATATGAAAACTATTATAATAGTGATTTTCCATTGCATCATTACATATACAAATACTGCACAACTTGAGTTTATCATAATTGTGGATGGCCAAGTAAAATGATTTGCCATATGCATGCTTACTCAAATAAATGTACAATGCAGTTGTGTTACCATCATTCTATGTATTATGATATTTTTATATATATTTTACTTACAGTCCCACAAAAACCAATAATTGAGAATGTATCATCACCAGAGTTGAAACAACTTGAAGTTCATGTGCAGGTAACCATCCATTGAACTACTTAAACTATGAAAACTTGTATTCGGATAACATCACATCATCTCACACTGCATTTTTGCAAACAGTGCACCAGTATCTCAATCTAGAGCAAATTACCCTCAATCGCCTACAAATATAGAAGCGCATACATAGATATGCATAATTAATGTGTGGTGGTATTGTTTGTAGTGCCAATGATGATTGCATTTACTTCCGATTCATATATTATAAAAGTGATATAAGGGTAAAATTCAAAACTATTAAAAAATGTATTAATAACAAAAACTGCTCCACAAAGACGGAAATGTGATACGAATGAGAAAGATGGAAATAACATACCAAGCAGAATGTCGTAACATAGAAAATTCATAAGTCAAGAATGCATAGCAAATGACAGACAACATGCATCAAAATAATCCAACGAAACCAAACAGCACCGCCAAATTAGTAAGAGACAGATATAACAATCTTAGGGGTGTTTTGAAAATGTTTTGAAAACACAAATGCAATGAATGAGCAGGCATAGCACATTACAGGTTTCTTCAGCACGGTACTGCACATAATGATATATTGCACATTATAAATTGTAGTATAAATTTGTCTTTATATTGTTTGTGGATCATAAATATAGTTTATCAAAATTTCAGGTCCCTGGTGTTAATGATATAAAGTGTAAACAAGATGGTGTGAATGGTTACGTCCAATATATTGAATTGCTATATAGAAAGGAAGGTACACAAGATGAATATGAAGTACAGAGAGAAGATTACAAGAGGAGTGTGACTGATACGGAAGTGATCACTATTACTGATGATTCATTACTACCTTACACAGAGTATGAAGTCATTGCTTTACTAAGCAACGCTGATGCTAAAAGTAGTTGGAGTGAAGCAGTGACTTGTAGAACATCGGAGGATGGTAAGTAATGCTCCTATCGTGACATGTTTTGTTTGTCATTTCAGGCTACAGTCTTTCATTAAATTATTATACAGAAAAAATGTAGAATAATAATGGTCTCTTGAGACTAGCACAAATTATGCACTCAGGCAGTATGTGGTTGCATAAACCTCTGCTGTAGTCAGTTGATAGAATAACATCCTTATTAGTTCTATTTTTTGTACATGCCTGGTTAAAAACAACAATTTCA